ACAGGAGGAAGATAATTCGTAAAATTTCAGCTTTCTAACTTGACTGGTTCCCGAAATCGTTTCCCCAACACCAAATTAGGTTTAAAGCATCACTGCGTAAGACAACGATGAACGTGAAGGCTGTTTTCATGCTTATGTGGCCGCCTGTGCACCAAATATTCATAAAATTTCAGCCTACTAGCTGTCTGATTGCTCCAATGAAAAACAGAGACAACTAGCCGAAAATACAGTACTGTATTTTTTTTTTGCTTTTCATCAATAACGGTAAAAAAGTCGCAATTAGAAAAAAAAACCTTTTTGTCCGGCTGCTTACTGAAAATGCGATACATAGCAAGTTCGGCACATAATGTTTTGCCGGATCCGGTTGGGGCGCCGACCAGTGTGTTCTGATCCGTATTGTATAGGCAATGGAAAACCTGTCAAAGATGTAAATTCAATTTTTCTAAGTCAATTCAAAATGGAGAAAAATAGTATGGAACTCAGGAAAAAGCAAAAATTGTAGAGAATTTGGGGAGTAAAAACTTCGTAATCATAAAAATTCGAGAAACCTGAGGGATAAGTGCAGGTGAAATTTCGCGTTTCCACAGATTTCATATAAACTGTGTGAGCTTCGTTTCATTAACACATAAGCGCACTTGGATAAAGAACAGGTGTCAAAAAGGCGGTGCATTTCCGAGTGTTTCTAAAGCCTTGTGGCCGACGTAAACGGGCCTCCTTCGTGAATGACTCCCAACAAAACTTTATGTAATGGCGGCTGTGGGAAAGCCTCAGGCCGCCGGCAGCTGAGCTAAATGGTGCAAAAGCGGTACAGAGGCATAAACAATTTCAAAATAAAGTAACTGGCCAACGCACGGGCTGCCCGTGCGAAGATGCGTTTTTTGCACGGTTCCCCGCAGTTTTTGTTGCTACCGGCACCGGTTTTTTCGGCAAATGCTTCTAGCTGGAAAGACTGGCCACCAGAACTGTCAGAAAACATTCCCTTTAAAATTTCAACTTTCTAGCTTCCCTGGC